TGGGTTGGTGGTGGTGGTGGTGGTGGTGGTGGACGATAGAGGATGGCAGACGTCGAGGATGGATCGTCGGTCTGCTGTCGCTCGCTCGCAGGCTGGCTGGGCTGCCTTGACGAGATGACCGGAGCAGAGGCAGGCAGGCAGGCCGACGAGACGACACCCTCGTCCTCGTCCTCGTCCTTCCGTCGTCGACGTGCAGCCAGCGCCGATTGGGGCCGCCGCGTCCGCCCTGGCCTGGACTGGGGGATGACCACCGTCTAGAGGCGCGCTTACGAATCCGCACGCCTGCCAGGCGCGTAGGCGGGCGGGCGGGCTAGGGCAGGCTAGGCAGCGCAGCCGGGCTAGGCCTGCCCAGCATTCCCCCATTTCGCGGCTGGCAGGCTTGGACGATCATCCAGGCCAGGCCAGGCCAGGCCAGGCCAGGGCGGGCAGGCAGGGCAGGGCAGGGAGGGACGGCTGGACCCTGCCTGGTCAGGCCAGCCGTGGACAGGCGGCTGGGCTAGGCGGCAGACGCGCTGCTGAGCGACGGGAACGATGATGTCACGACACGTATGTCCCTCGCCTCTGCTCGCCTGGACCCGCTTGGACCCTAGCCTTTGATTTCTGCCCTGGCCTGGCCTGGCCGCTCGACCGTCCGCCCGCCCGCCCGTCCGCTTTCTCCGCATGCCGGACAGCCAGCAGCAGCCGTCTCGGATCCGGACCGTGCTTGGGTGGGGCCACGGCTCGACCCAAGGGTGGCTCGTCCACCTGCCTGGCCTGGCTCGGCTCGGAGCGTTTCTTTGCCTGCCCTGCCTTGCCCTGCCCTGCCCGCGCCTGCTGGCCTGCCCAGCAGAGGACCCAAGCCAGCTCAGCCGGCGCCTCGGCGCCTCGGACCCTTTTCTTCTCACAACCAACACCGCACCTACCGCACCGCGCCGCGCTCCACCGTGCTGCACGCCGCGAAGCTGGCGAGCTGGCGAGCAACGTACGGCTAGCCAGCATCAAGCCGGGCAGGCAGGCCTGGCTGTCTGGCACCGGGAGGTCAGGCAGGCAAGCAGGCAGGCAGACGCGCCGTCTCGCCCGTCGTCGTCGGCTGGTCCGCACCCGAACTTCCTGGCTGGGCCGGCTTGCTCCCGAACCAGTAGTCAGGCTGGCGGGCGGGGCTCGGCCTAGCGCAGCCTGACCTGGCCCGGTCCTCGTTGCGCGACTCGAACAGGGGCCGCTCGCCCCGCCCCGAGATGCTGTTCCAGCGCAGGCCCGCTCGCTCTCCCTGCGCCGTCGAGGACCGCCACGCCCAACCCTGCCTGCCTGGCCTTTCGACCTGCTCAAACCGCAAAGCCTAGGGGGCCGATAGGCGGGCGGGCGGGCATGCAGGCAGGCAGACTCCGGCGAGTTTCGCTAGCTGCGCTGCGGGTCTCAGCCCCACCGATAGCAGGCAAGCAACCGCGAGCAAGCGAGCGAGGCGCACGCCACCGAGCGACGAGGTGGGCGTCCCCTCCGCCCGTGGCGTAGGCCAGCCCCGGAGCCTTTTCCTCTGCGCTCGCCCCAGGGCGCCGCCAAGGCGCGGGTCGGCTTGCCCGCCTGCCTGCCTGCCCGTCTGCCTGCCTACCTGCCTGCGCCTGAAGAGCTTAAAGGCGAGGGCTGAGGAGGCCACCGCCGTCCTGCTCGCTAGCCAGCGCACCTCGATCGACCCACGCCCGCACACTCGCCCCCGCCCCCTTTCCCTTCCCNTCTC